TCATGCTTGGTAGAGTAGAGGGTCAGTGAAAACGAGGAAGACCCTCAACAAGATGGATTGATACAGTGGCTTCAATAAGGGGCTCAAGCATAACAACGATTGTGAGGGTGGCATAGGACCAGCAGTGTTTCATTCTGTTGTACGTAGGATTGCTGAGTCAGAACCGACTCGACGGCATGAAACAACAACCGTATTGTACCCAGGAAATAGATTTCTTTTTGTCCATTTTCATGTCTCCAGCTGATAATTCAGATGCTTTTCATAAGCAGTTCTGCCATGAGGACTGTGAATCCTATCACCAGGGATGTGGGTCTGTGAATCTGCATATACACTAGGCCCTGATGGAGCCCAAGAACTGTCCCATAAATGTAGGCCCCACTCTTTTTCAGATATATGTGGTTGTGAGGAAAAAACTCAAATTCTTACCAACTGTTAAATTCACCAGTTGTTTGTTCATAGGTATTTTCTCAGCTAATACCAGTTGCCATCAAGTCAATTCTGAGTCATTGTGACCCCGTGTGTGTCAGAGTAGAACTGTTGAGAACAGTTTTTCTCATGAACATTGAAAAGTCAAGGATTATGAATGTATGGATTCTGTGTAATATTTTGAGTAGTTATATGCACATGTTGGAGAAATGAATTTTAGGGTTTTTATATCCTACCTCAAATTCTGCCTGCCTGTAAGAACCACTGAAATAAAGCATTGATTCCATTTATTTTAAAATAATGACATGATTTGAAAGTTGCGTTTGTATTTCTGTTTGGAATTATGGTTAGGTGATTTGTTTTTTATTTGTTGAATATCTTTAAACATCTTGAACAAAAATAGAGAATACTCCAACTGTATCATGGCTGATTTTCTTGTTGTGCTTACTTATATCAAAACAACTCTAAATAATGAGAGCTAAATACTTATGACTAGAATATATGAGAATAGAAGATTAATTGTTGTGCAGAGAATGTTGTTATATTTCACAAAGTTTAATTTCTTTTTTTTTTATTGTAAGTTAGATGAAGGTTTACAGAACAAATAGTTTCTCATTAAACAGTTAGTACACATTGTTTTATGACAATGGGTAACAACCCCACAACATATCAACACTGTCCCTTCTTGATGTTGGGTTCCCTATTACTAGTTTTTCTGTCCCCTCCTGCCTTCTAGTCCTTGTCCCTGGACTGTTGTGCCCCATTAGTCTTGTTTTGTTTTATGGGGCTGTCTAATCTTTGGCTGAAGGGTGAACCTCAGGAGTGACTTCATTACTGAGCTAAAAAGGTGTCCGGGGGTCCATACTCTTGGGGTTTCTCCAGTTTCTGTCAGGCGAGTAAGTCAGGTCTTTTTTTCACAAACTTTAATTTCTTAAGAGGTCAACAAAAACAGCTCGCCAGGCAAACATGGTCTGTGTTTAAACACTTGTGCAGGCTGGGCTTTTGATTCCTTTTTAGATGGAAATGTGTAAGAACTTTCGCCATTACACATCTTGGTGACTTTTCATGTGTAGTGCCATCTATTTTTTTCTTCCCAGGGACTGAATCTATCTACCCTTACTTAATAATTTGTCACTCATTAGAGTTTTAGCGTTTTAAGCCTTCCCCCGCTCTGACACCGTAGTGGTTCATTACGTAACAGAGTATAGCTTAAGTATAAAAATGGGAGGAAAGAGTGATAACGGAGAAAACAGAAGACATTGGATAGTAACTGATCTTTACAAGAATCTGTGAAGGATGGGCACTATTGAATGTATCTTGAAACACTAAAAAAAACAAAACCCAAATCCATTGTTGTCCAGTTTATTGGGACTCATAGTGACCCTGTAGGACAGAGTAGAACTGCCCAATAGGGCTTACAAGGAGGGGCTGGTGGATTTGAACTGCCAACCTTTTGGTTAGCAGCCGAACGCTTAACCACTATGCCACCAGGGCTCCTTTATCTTGACAACAGTGTAAAAATAGCATTTCTTTGCAATGCTAAATTAATTTAATAAAGCGAATCCAATGACATTTTAAAAATCTAATGAATATAAAGAAGACACTAGATGGTGCTGTAAACTAAGCAGTATATTAACAGTTCAGGAGGAAGGTGTGGCCAGAAGTTCAGTCCGCTTCTGTTAATCGACTCTCTCCTCCTCACCAGCGTGGTGGTGGTTGCTGGCCTTTTCATGGTCAGCGTGCTTCATTTCGTTTGTGGAAGACCCTCACTCGTAATAATCAATGGGCCAAATGCGAATTCGTTTCCCTGAATTTATACATATTTTAGGACTAAACTAGTCTCAGTTTGCTAATGACAGTGAAAATAGATGCAGGCATGAATTTGAGATGAAATGAGTGACTCAGATATTTGGGACAAAGTCAATGCCCAGTTTTGGATTGGGTTATTTAAGTACGGGAAATAAGTATTAATAACTTGATTTACAGCCATGGTGTTTGACCCATATATGTGCAGTGAATAGATTCTTATAAATCTGTGATGTGAAATGTTATATATACAATTGTTTTCCCTTCAACTTCAGTATTTCTTTCCAGAACATTCTGAGGCGCTATCTCATAGGCTTCTGTGGGCTTGGCGTGCAGTTATCGTTAAATAGATACTTAATCTTCACATTCATTTCCAGAAGCATCTGCCTTGTTAATGCTCTGTTTATCTGATTCTCCCATTTACATTGCCCTGCAGGAAGGCTTTCACAAGTGGGTGGTTACAGATCCACACAGGTTCATGGGACTAGAAAAGAATTTAGCAGTCGGCCACATGCATAAAATTGGTGCACAGAGTCCTTACGGTGATGAACTAGCCCACAGTATGAGCCATATGGAATGTTTGCAAGAACTGAATGTCATTTCAGTAATATCTTCATGTAGACTTTTTTTTTTTTTTTTTTAACTTCGCGTAAGGGTAAGGAGTGTCTTCTTTACAGTCAGTCCTTGGAAGATTTCATTATTGATCCTCATTAGAATTTAACTAAGTTTAAATGAAATTAAATGACTGTAAGTGATTTTATTATCTAAATATATAAAATGTTCATTGACCCCCACAGGAAATTTTTAAGTCCGTTGTAGAAGAGGACTTTTTTAAGACTCTTAATGGCTTTGAAAAGTATGCGGGTTTGAGAAATTTGGATATAGGGGTTGGATTCAGTTCATGAAAATCATAACCTGGTGATCCTGGCTTTGGATATAGGGGTTGGATTCAGTTCATGAAAATCATAACCTGGTGACCCTGGCTTTGTTTAACAAATTCACAATTCAGTGTATTAAAGTAGAAGTAGTTTTACGAATGTTCCATGTCAGAAGAGAGAGCATTTTGAGGACATGTATTGTGTTTGTATGTTGACATCCAGTTCACCTTTATGTTAACTTTGAATGACATCACAATCACTTTGTGTTCCTAAAGGTCTAGTGACTTGACTGCAGTGAGCAGTGACCAGGAAGACCCCGGGGGATGGAGGGAAGGGGCAGAAGGAGGATAGGAGGCAGCGAGAGCTGCCCACTGTGGTGGACACTGCTAGGGGCTTTCAGAACGGCTTAGGGGCAACTGCAAATGAAAACCCATTGGAAGGAATCAAGACATTTCATTTTTCTGCAAGAAATTTGGCAGCAAGCAAGAGCTGTATTACTGTCTGATTTCTAAAGCAGAATGAAAACAATGGTCATTGTATTTAGCAAGGTTTCTTCTTTTTTAAATAAGCAAGAGATGCTGCACTGTAGAAAACCATTGAATTCCTTGGAGTGCTCCCTTAGCCAGTCTGTACAGCATCAAAGCCAACATTGTGCATTACCGAAGATTGATTCTAGAATTCCAGTGAACTTTGTGCTTCACACAGTATTGGTTCTTAAATGGCCCATTAAGAGAGAGACCGAGCTGTTAATATTATGCATTAAAAATGACACGTGTACTTAATTATTTTGCAAACCTTAAATTAAGGAGCTACTATGTATCAGCTAAACAGAAGTATAGTAGATGAGTGACATTCCTGATGGATGCATTCTAGAACTTTTCTGAAGCCCCAGAGTTGTAATTCGAGCATCACTTATATTTTTCCTCATAAGTTGAATACCCTGAGGTCTTGTAAAACAGAACTGAAGTCTCTTACTTGGCAGTTGGCTTTCTTTGGGCAGCTATTTTCCACACTTCCGATCGTTGACAAGTATTACTCCATCAGTTTACAGACAAGGGCTTATCTAATCCACAGAGCTACCTAGGGGCAAAGGGGGACTGTAGGCACGTTCATACCTGCCTGTTAACCAGCTCTCTCCCACTTACCCCTTCCTACCTCAAACTGTGCAAGAGTGCTGTCCTGCTGACCTGAATATTTTCCCTTGTGATAGATTATTGATTGTATGATAATTACTAATTATTGGCTCAGTACTTTTGTCATTTCAGTATCTGGCCGTAGGATTACTGTTTGACCATTCATGACCTTAGCCACAGCAACATCTTTCTTCTGCCTGCCTACCCACATAGGCCCTGTTAACTGTTCTCTTAGCACCTCCAACTCTGTGTTGGTCCTTTTCAAATCGGCCCTCACCTTATGCTGATTTTACTCAAGTTCAGATCCCTGAGTTTATCCAACCCCTCAGCTGTGTACAGGGCACTGGGGTCATGCTAGGCAAATGTGACTGTGTCTAGCCCACCCTGATGCGGTGGGGAGAATCTGGTGGCGGTGAAGGGAGGGGGAAAACCCAAAACACCAAACCTGTTGCCATCGAGTCAATCGACTCATCGCTACCCTATAAGACAGAGCAGAACTGCCCCATAGGGTTTCCAGGGAGTGGCTGGTGGATTCGAACTGCTGACCTTTTGGTTAGCAGCGGAGCTCTTAACCACTGCACCACCAGGGCTCCAGATATTAATAAGTATAATAAATATTGTTCCTGATAGAAATTTATACTTACTTCATTATACATCTCAATTTTGAAACCTGATCACTAAGACGCACATTTGAGTGAGAACCCTTGCAGTCGCTAAGGTTTCCTTTTTGTCTTTGCCTGTTGTGATTGCCATCCAGAGGATGATGTGGACTTGGAAGCGCTGGTGAACGACATGAATTCGTCCTTCGAGAGTCTGTACTCAGCCTGCAGCATGCAGTCGGAGACGGTGCCTCTCCTTCAGAACGGCCAGCATATCCGCAGCCCACTGCCGACTTCAGGGATGAGAGCCCTCCAGCCGCAGGTGCCCCAGCGGCAGAAGGTGCAGCGCTCACAACCTGTGCACATCTTGGCTGTCAGGTAGGAGCAGGGCATGCTGAGCCTCCCAGAGTGAGTGCCCTTGCAGAGTATGATTCTGTGTTGGCTGGCTAAATGATGATGGACGGTGTATGAGGCTCCTGCTCATAAACTGGGTGCCTTGTAAGAACGGGAGTTTATTGTCTCACAGTTCAGGAGGCTTAGAGTCTGAATTCAGGTGGTCAGCAGGACCATGCTCCCTCTGAAGGCTCTAGGGGGAGACCCTTTCTTGTCTCCCTCAGCTTCTAGTAGTGCTGAGTGTTCCTTGACATGTAGATGCGTCTTCACGTGGCTGTCTTCTCTCTGCCTCTCTGTGTCTCTTCTCTTTTATAAGGACGCCACTCAGATTTAATCAGAACCCACCCTACTTCAGTATAACCGTATATTGACTGATATCATCTTCAAAGACCCTATTTCTAAACGAGGTCATATTCACAGGTACCGAGGTTAGGACTTCAACATATCTTTTTGAGGGACACAGTTCAGTCCATAATAGGAGGTGATGGTGTTGGCCATGTGAAATCAAGAGGCAGAAAAATTCCATTTTATTTTAGTGATAGTTACACTGAAAATGTGTAGGCATGCCATCCAACATGGTGGCACTTGGGCTGAGTTTGGTGCCTGGCTCAGTTCAGATACCTTTTATTGAGCACCTGATATATGCCAGGCACTGAGCTAGGTAGAGTGATGGGAAGACCATTGGAGGAAAATTCCTATTCTGGAAATAATGAAATAATGGCCTCACAACCCACAAAGTGTGGTCCCTGAACCAGCAGCAGCAGCATCCCTGGGAGCTTGTAAGAATGCAGAATCTCAGATCCCACCCCAGCACCTACAGTGGAGCACACTCTCCCAGGGAGTTGGGGTGGGAAGCATATCTTCTCTGTTGAACCTCACTTATAAGCTCGGCAAATATGTGCAGACCTAGAGGATAGTGGGAAGAACTTGCTAAGGACGCTGAGGAAGGTTCCTTGGAGGTGGTGGATCTTGGAATTGGATGTTGAAGGCTGAGCAGGAGCTGAGAGATGAAGGAGGAATTTAGTGAGCAGCAGGGAGGATCCCCACAGAGATTGGGGCCAGATTATGAAGGGCTTCACATGCCATTCTGAGTGGGAAGACAGGGAAGGGCTTTGAGCGGGGGTTGAGGAGATTGGATTTGGGGTTTTGGTAGGCTGACTGGATGCCAGGAGTAAGACAGATTGGGGGGCAGTCAGATTGGCAGAGCCGAGGCCAGTTTGGTAGTGTCTGAGGAATCCAGACCGGGGATGAAGGGTACAGAGGAGGAATGAATTGGAGGGCTAATTCCGAGAAAGAATCAACAGTATCTTATAAACAGCTGAATTTTTTTTTTTAATTTTTTTTTTTATTGTACTTTAGATGAAGGTTTACATAACAAATAGTTTCTCATTAAACAGTACACATATTGTTTTAAATTGGCATTGGTTAACAACCCCACGACACTTCAACATTCCCTTCTCGACCTTGGGTTCCCTATTACCAGCTTTCCTGTCCCCTCCTGCCTTCTAGTTCTTGTCCCTGAGCCGTTGTGCCCCATTAGTCTCGTTTTGTTTTATGGGGCTGTCTAATCTTTGGCTGAAGGGTGAACCTCGGGAGTGATGTTATTACTGAGCTAAAAGTGTGTCTGGGGGCCATACTCTCGGGGTTTCTCCAGTCTCTGTCAAGCCGGTAAGTCTGTTCTTTTTTTGTGAGTTAGAATTGTAAACAGCTGAATTTTTAAGGGGAAAGAGGGGACAAAGAAAGTTTTAAAAGAGTGACTAGGATTTTGTCTTGAGAGCCTGGGAGGTTGGTGGCTAGACAATTCATCAGGATAGCAGTTTTAAGGGGAAGATGCTGAGATAATTTTAGATATTCTGAATGGAGATCTTTGTGAAATCAAGCTGAGAGACAGAGACAGTTATTGAGAAACTGTCTGTGTTGACTCTGAGGGGTTTTTGGTAAGGGTAGTATGAGGTGGGAATGGTGAGATAAGACTCCCCCTGCTTCCTTCCTCTCTCCTCTGGGCTTCCTTGGTACGGGTGGCATTGGATTATACCTTGGACCTCCTTTGCTCTCACCTCAGCCTCTGTCAGGCTGGGATTCTGGCGGCCGCTCGTTTCTCAGTAGCTGATCTTCCTGGGATCTTATTTCCTTCTGCTGGGGTCCTCCCTGCTTCCAGAAGCTTCTGTGAGGTTTCTTTCAGGTCTGAGAGTCCTCTTGCCTTCAGGGTAGCCTGTCCTTTGGTTTGGAGGCAGAGTGAATTCAGAGTTGTCTTGTAGAGAAGGTCAGTGGCTGGGGGAGGGGTAAAGGAGGGGGCTGTGATAATTCAACCCTTGTGCCACTTTGCTTTCTAGAGCATCAGTCTCTTGCTCTCTGTCTTAGTTTCTTAGTGCTGCTGTAACAGAAATACCACAAGTGGATGGCTTTAGTGAACAGAAATTTATTTTCTCATAGTTAAGTTGGCTAGAAGTTCGAATTCAGGGCCCAGGCTCTAGGGGAAGGCTCTCTCTATCACTCTGAGGGAAGATCTTTGTCTCTTTCAGTTTCTATTCCTTGGTTCCTTGGAGATCATGGCATCTATCTTTCCCTCTTTTGTCCTTGCTTGTCTCTGTGCCTAATGTGCTCCTTTTATATCTCAAAAGTGATTAGGTTGACAACACACCTTACACTGATGGCCTCATTAACATAACAAAGAGAACCCTATTCCCAAATGAGACTACATCAACAATTGTAGGGGTTAGGATTCCAACACATATCTTGTGGGGGACGTAATTCAATCCGTAACACTTGCTAGTGAGTTAAGTTTGCAGGAAGAGACTCATGGGAGCCACTTTGAGTCCGGGATCTGTCCCACAATGGTGGCCTCTGGGAGCCCCTTGGAAGACTGGGCTGCAGCCTGCTGCGTGAAGGTTTCTGAAGTTGTTGGGTGGAGGCCAGTGGTGCCGGAAAGCCTGGCTCCTTGCCAGAGTTAGTGCCCAGGACCCTAGAACCTAGACATCTGGCTCAACTTGGCTTGTATACGTCATCGTTTAGCTGCCTGGGCTAAGTCCCTGAGATATCTGCGCAGAAGGGCAAGCAAAACACTCTCCCTACAAGTCTAATAGGTACTGTTTCTTGAGCCTAGTCTCCTCTCACTGATGTTCTGTCAGGTAAATATTGTTTCTTATCTTTGGGTGGCTACTGCATCCTCTGGATTAAAAAATATGTATATGGGGAGAACATCACAGGATTGCCAGTGGCTTAATTTGTAAATTGAGGACATCCTTTGAGCACTTGCTCTATATAAGGCTCTATTGACCTTCTCATTTATTAACAGATTTAATTCTCACAACCACCCTAGAAGGTAGGTGTGGTACAGGTTGTCCTCAGTTCCCAGGTGAGGAATTGAAAAGAGACACACAGGTGAGGTAAGCTGGCCCACACCTGGTGAGCGGGAAGCTCGGGTGCAAACCAAGGGGCTGTGGAGCCTGTACAAGGAATGCATTGAGCTTTGTGCTGGGTTACTGGGACCCACAGCACATCGTCCATTCTTCTGAGGAACTCCCAGGAAGAGAGATAAGATGGAGGCAAGCACAGAGTATAGCAAAGCTTGGAGAAGGTAGAGGAGGCTTCCTAGGCAACATCACAGTTGAGCCAGTTCTTGAAGAAGTATGAGTGGGCTAAGGTGAACATGCAAAGGCAGTGGATCTGTTCTAATCTAGACAAAGGGAGCAGCATGGGCAACGACATCAGAAACAGGTTGGAGTCACGCTCCACCCCACCCTCAGGCCCGCAAATTTTTGTCACCATCCCTGACTCCACCATCCCTAAATCTTAGCTCCCTCTTCACATTCGTTTCTCCTTTTGAAATTGTAAAGAGGGTATATCGTTTTGTAGTAGGCCTCTTCTAGGGGAAGCTTTTCAGCTTTGTGTAATGCTCCTTAGTTTTACTCTAGGTGTTTTGGGAACTACTATTAAGTCAATACAAAACTTTGTAAGATGTTCAAAATACCCTAATGAAGAGAGAAGCTTTGGTGAACAGCTAGAACATCAAAGAGAACTTCAGCATCTTGTATTAGAAGTCAAAACAAAAAAGAACTCTCATTCTTTGGGGTTACACAATCGCTGGTTGGAGGCTGTGGGCTGGAATAGACTGAAAATAGTGTTGGCTGCACCTCACCACTCTGTTGTTCTGTATTACAAGGGTCAGACTTCGTGTGGACGTCTTGCCAAGGCAGAAGCTATTATGGGAAGAGTGGGATTTGTTAACAGTAAAAATAAACTTTCTGGCATATTGTCAAGCCGTTATAGGAATGTTGTTGTTGTTAGGTGCCGTCAAGTTGGTTCTGACTCATAACGACCCTGTGTACAACAGAATGAAGCACTGCCCAGTGCAGCACCATCCTCACAATTGTTGCTATGTTTGAGCCCATTGTTGCAGCCACTGTGTCAGTCTATCTCGTTTAGAGTCTTCCTCTTGATTGACGGCTGTCTGCTTTACCAAGCATGATATCCTTCTCCAGGGACTGATTCCCCCTGATAACATGTCCAAAGTATGTGAGATGTAGTCTCAGTATCCTTGCTTCTAAAGAGCATTCTGGCTGTACTTCTTGCAAGACACATTTGTTCTTTCTATTGACAGTCCATGGTATATTCAATATTCTTCACCAGCACAATAATTCAAACGCCATCAATTCTTCTTCGGTGTTCCTTATTCTTTGGCTTTCGCGTGCATATGAGGTGATTGAAGATGACATGGCTTGGGTCAGGCTCTCATGTGTAGGAATGGTTCTCATATATTTCACAGAACTGATTTCCTTCATTCCATGTGAGCAATTGTATTTTTAAATCCACTGCCTCCTTGAAAATCAGGGTAAGTCGGTAAAAAGAAAAGAGTAAAATGGTCACAAAGTGCATTTATCTAGTGGCATAGCTCCTGAGAAAGCTTGTTGGCTTTTGGTCCTGGTTGCTGAGAGCCAGACCACCCCTGAGGCCAGTGAGTGGGAGCTGACCAGACCAAGAGGTACTAACTGGGAGCCAGATGCTGACTAAGCCTCAGGAGGTGTGATGTAATCTATTGTGGCCATGTGGTGAGGCTGATAAAGGTCTTGGGAGACAGCAGGCTCAGTGGAGCTTCCTGGGTGCTGAGAATGAGCATCTGCTCTCAATAGGGTAGTTGTGTCCCCTGGGTACATGGAAGCTCTGTACTGATACCCTTCCCAGACCTCGCACTATGTATTTGTATCCTTTTTCCTTCTAGATTAAAGACAGCCCTTTCCCTGCAGTTTGTGAGTCGTTCCAACAGATTATCAGCCCTAAGAAACAGAGAAGGGGCCAGTACCTGCTGACCTAGCCCCAGGTGAATGGGGATGAGTCAGAGAAAGGGCCGGTGCTTGCTGACCTAGCCCCGGGTGAGTGGGGATGAGACAGAGAAGAGGGCTGGTACCAGCTGATCTAGCCCCAGGTGAATGGGGATGAGAGGGCTGTGTGGAGCAGCTAGTGTCTGGATGGACCAGGGAAGGGAAGCTAAGATTTCCACAGGACATAATTGGCATGTGGAGTGGGATTTATTATCCACCACACATTAGGTGTCAGACATGGAACATCTCAGTCTCCCTGGGCTGGTTTGATACAACTGGCACAGCAAGTGGGGTTAGCTGGAGGGAACCCTGACAGTGCATTAGTGGATGATTGATCTAGTCAAGTTGTAGAAAAGTTTGTGTGAAGATACAGCCTTCAGGAAAGGTTTGTGTGGTGTATTTAAATGAGGAGAAGGACAGGGAGTACTAAGCCATGACAAGGACCTGATACTACAGCCCATGTTTGCCTCTGTTTCCTTGAAATGAGGTCTACAGGCTTAGCCTAGTATCAGCCCTCTCACATGGATGACGGAGTCACCCTTTCCAGGAAGGCCCTGGAGATGTGTAAGTGAGGTACTAGCAGTGACCCTCGTAAAGGGAAGCATAGGGCAGTTGGCATTGTTTTTTGCTCTGACTTTGATCTTGATTTTTTCTGCCATTTCACTGTTGTGTCTGGTTTGTCGTCCTGTGTGTGGTTTGCTTAGTTGTGTGACCAGTGGATTTCTCATTCTTGGGAGGAGGGAGCAGGAGGCCCTGGAGAAATGACAAGGAAGGGGGAAAGATCATGTAAGATTCAGCAGTGGCTCTTAGTGATGTTGACTGGGGCACAGCAGGCAGCCCTGAGGTGACATAAACATGGTTTTTAGTGCTCTGGGGAGGATAGGTACATGAAGCATTTCTTTCCAGTTAATTCAGTATCAGAAGCTTTTTGTGTAAATAAGCATCCACTCCACAAATGAGATGAGGACACATGAAGCCTCTTCCTGTCTTTTCATTTGGTTAGATAAACGTTCTCTTCAAGGTCATTGAAACTCATTTTCTCACGGAAGTGCTCTTACGGTACCTCTTCACACATCAGGTATTCATTGAACAAAACTCTGAGGAGGCATTTGGAGTAAATGCCACTACATGCCATGTGCTGTGCATTTTCTCAGATCGGAGTGCATGCTGTGTAGTGTGGCAAACATGGCATCCTTGTCCAATGGGATGTTAGTGGAGAAGGGAATCTCCACCCTTTGGGGTCTGAGGATTGCAGCTTTTCACAAGCAGTTGTCTCTTTCCTCCCAGGCGCCTTCAGGAAGAAGACCAGCAGTTTAGGACTTCGTCTCTGCCAGCAATCCCCAACCCCTTTCCCGAGCTCTGCGGTGCTGGGAGCTCCCCTGTGCTCTCGCCAGGCTCCTTGCCTCCCAGCCAGTCGGCGGCTAAGCAGGTGAGCATGCCCCTGGCCTGAGCACCAGCTGCTTGGCCATGGGGCCTGGAGCATGTGCTGACTGATTGCTTTGGGGAGAGGGGAGGGACCTTGTGGGGTCTGGCACATTGCTTTGGGGAGAGGGTGGGACATTATGGGGTCTTTTCTCTCAGTTCTTTTCTTGTTTAGCTGTTACATGTTGCCTCCTAAGGCTTTTCCATTGGCCGAAATTTCAGTTAGGAAGGCAGAGATGTATCTGTGTTTTAGAAAGAGTTTCGGAAAAATGGTAAGGAATAATTTCATGCTTAAGGATTAATTTTAGTTCTCTGAAGTAATTCACCACAGGATCGCCTTCATTGTCTGGATAAATAAGGTGTTAAAGCTCTGGGTTCTTTCGGGCACCTGAACTTCAGTGCATTGTAGTTGAAGAGTTTCCGTCCTGTGTCCTGACTTTGAATATGGTCTGCTGAAAGGGGAAGAATTTTCATTTCACCCAGAAAGTGATAGCCACCTTTTCATACTAGTAGTTTCTACTGTGAGGTAGATATTCTGCCGTCATTATCCCCATGTGAGGAAACTGAGGCTCAGAGAATTTAGGTAACTTGCCCAAAGTCAAATAGCCAGTGAGTCCAACTTGCCAGGCTCCTGGACCGAGAAATGGGCTGGCAGCTCCTTCCCTCCTGGTTGGCAGGACCTGGTGCCATGATTGTTAGAGGCTCTGGAGGAAGTGCCAGTTATGCCCCAGGGTCAGGTGGTGGTGGTAACAACAACAACTTGTAATACTTATTGAGTGATTTCTATGTGTAGCTCATGTATTCCTCAGACAACCCTGTGAGTTAGGTACAGATGTTATCTCCATTCTGCAGCTGAGGAAATTGAGGCTGACTGTAAGTGGTGGAGCTGGGACATGACCCAGTGTACCGGTATATGTTGTAGAGCTAGGGGGTGACCTGGCATGAGTTGTTGAGCTGGGGGTGGAGGGTGACTGGTATACGTGCTAGAGCTGGGGGTGACCCAGTATCTTAGTTTCTTAGTCCTGCTATAATGGAAGTACTAAAAGTGGGTGGCTTTAATGAACACATTTATTTTCCCACAGCTTAGGAGGCTAGAAGTCCACATTCACTGGCTCTAGAAGAAGGCTTTCTCTCTGTTGGTTCAGGGGAAAGACCTTGTCTCCTCAGCTTCTGTTCCTCGGTTCCTTGGCGGTCTTCATGTGGCGTGGCATCTGTCTTCTGTTTGTGTTTGCTTGCTTCTGGGCCTGAGCTGCTCTTTTAGAGCTCAAGTCACTGGCCAAAGACACAGCCTACACTGACGTGGCCTCATTAACATAACAAAGAAATCCCTATTCCCAAATGGGATTACCTCCACAGATATAAGGGTGAGGATTTACAACACATCATTTCTGGGGAACACAATTCAATCCAGAACACTCAGTATATGTAATAGAGCTGAGGGTGACCCAGCATGAGTGTTACAGACTGTGATCTTAGCCACTGTACTGATGTGCTTCCTGAGACCTTGACTTTCTTTTATGTATACTACAAGAGTAGTTTAGAAATTTCTTGGCCCTTTATATTAGAGTCATTCTCTCCTTCTCCTCCTCCCTCCTCACTTCTCCCTGTGTTGTTCTCAAGCATGATATGCCAACAAGTCCTTTTGCTTCAAATCTGTCTACTCTGCTCCCTGCAGGCTCTGCCCTCTAGGAGATAGACATTTATTCTAATACCCGCCCGCATCCCAGAGTTGCTCCCGTCCTGACCTGAAGCCCAGAGCAGGCCACGTGGTAGCACTATCAAAACTTAGAAAGTGAGGTCAGTGCTCGTGAGGCTTCGGCACTGGTCACATGCTTGAGTACATCTGGGCCGTCTACCTCACTGGTGACCTTCCGTGTCAAATAAGGATTTAGACAAGCTGTCTGTGGACTTGTCACTGAGGTTGTTTACAAAGTTACCCTAAAATAAAACCATGAAAATATTATCTGGCCCTCTCAGCAGCAGGGAAAAAAACTGGCTTCCACCCCCATGCACTCACCATCTTTATAAGCAGAACAAGGAAACCTTGGGATTTTGCCTGCTGGTGGTTTTCTTGGGGTCAGAGTCAGGTCCCCATGATAACTCTGCTTTGGTGTCTGAGTTTTTGTCAACTGAATGATCAGAACCGCAAGGGCAAGCAAGAGCAGGAAGGATTCTTCACACGTATCGCTACATGTTAGAAAGTCATTGTTCTTTTTCATTTTATTTACCTGCTTGTTATAGATTGAATTGTAGCCTCCCTAAATATGTGCCCCCTGTACCTGTAGCAGGAGCCCTGTGGCACAGTGGTTAAGAGCTCGGCTGCTAACCAAAATGTTGGCCATTCGAATCCACCAGCTGCTCCTTGGAAACCCTGTGGGGCAGTTCTACTCTGTCTTATAGGGTTGCTAGGAGTCGGAATCAACTTGACTGCAACAAGTTTGGTTTTTGTGGGTTTTTTTATACCTGTAGTTATAATCTCATTTGGAAATGGGTTTTCTTTATTATGATAATTAGACAGTATTAGTGTAGGGTGTGTCTTAAGTCAGTCTCTCTTGAGATACAAAAGAGCAGATTAGGTGTAGGAAAGCACAGGGAGAGATGGGGGAAGAGAGATACCACATCACATGTAGATCTCCCAGGAGCAGAAGCTCAAAAACAGACAAGGACCTTCCTCCAGAGCTGACAGACAGAGAAAGCCTTTCCCTGGAGCAAGCACCCTGAATACAGACTTCTAGCCTCCTAAACTGTCAGAAAATAGATTTCTGTTTGTTAAAGCTATCCACTTGTGGTATTTCTGTTACAGCAGCACTGTATAACTAAGACACTGCTTGAAGGGTGCATTTTTAAATCTACACCAGGTTCTTTTGATCTCATGAAAAGTGTGTTGCTGCTGGTGATGGTTGCCAAGCGACCTCTAGAAAGCTGCAGAGTCCTGGGGACCTAGGATAACACTGGGAGACGCTGGTGTGCAAAAAACGAGGCCTGGTGGTGCAGTGGTTAAATACATGGCTGCTAACCAAAAGGTTGGCAGTTCAAACTCACCAGCCGCTCCGCAGGAGAGAGATGTGGCAGTCTGCTTCCGTAAGGATTACAGCCTTGGAAACCCTATGGGGCAGTTCTACTCTGTCCTGTAGGGTCGCTATGAGTCAGAATTGACTTGAAGGTAACAGGTTTTGTGTGCAGAACAGTTTGGCTTCCACTGCTTGCCTAAGGAAAGAGAGATCTGGTGTTCTTTTTCCTTTCATTCAAAGTCAGAGGAAACGTCGCTGGAAACAGCATCTAGTCAAGAGTGGACGTGGTATAAAAATAGCTGAAGTCTACCCCGTGTATTGTGCAGCATACAGCTACCGCGTGCACTGGGAAGAACTCAGTCAGCCCATGAAAAGAAGAAAGTGTTGCACATCTTTGGGGACAGGGAAGGGGTCACAGCCTCTTTAATCACATGCGTTGTTAATAAGAGAACTCATGATGAAAGATGGGGGCAGGGAAGGAAGAAGTAAAGAGATATTGAAGCATCTGTGTCAAAGGAAAAATCATTCTTGCTCAAGGCCCTACTTTCAAGTAACCTAAAGTGATAGAGACAGAATCGTGGGCTGTCTAACCTGAAGGCAGAATGAAGTGTTTGGTAGTGTAAGAGACAGCAGTGAGGTGTTGGAAGTAGTCAGTTCTATCCAGAAGGATCAGGAAATCTTCCATCCACCCAGCATCCTCTGCACGAGGGGTCCCAGAGTGGGTGGCAGCACCTGGGTGGGATCCAAGTTCTCCCACACTGACCGACCCCCCACTCACAGCCTGGCTGTCTTGTCAAGTGCTGTCACCCCAGCTAAGGGTATCCATGGCGCTGGCCTGAGTCAATGCAGTCTTCATGGTTGCGGGAATCGCTGTATTTTATCCAGTCCCCAAGCTGGGGAAGACTTAACCCAAATGAAAAGGAGCAGCTTCTGCCCTCGGATCAGAGATCACTGTGCCTGATCGGAAGCATGTGATAACCTGCTTGTCCTTTCCTGCCTGGCTAACCTCTGCCCACTTTGCACTTGACCTCCTCAGACCTCCGAGGCTCTGTTTTCTCCCCTGGGTCAGGGGTCCTGCCAGCCTCCCCTGTGTTGACCCTGCTCCTGACCCTGTTCTGTAATGAGGCTGGAGCTGTGGTGCCTGCCCAGGGGTTATACACGAGTAGCGCTGCAGGGTCTGACCTCTCACCCACCCCCAGCTGGGGTGACACCTGCCTGGGAGGAGAGGGGCCTGTGTGTAGCCCACTCCTCTTCTGCACCCCCACCCTGAGCCCCTGGACACCCCAAGCCTGGGGTCAGGTTACACCTGAGTGCCCTTGTATACAGAAAGCCTGCAGGACAGCGAGAATTCTGGACCCTGTCTGGGAACTACAGCCTGCTGGGGTGAACTGGACACAGATTTGGAGAGGTTACAGGAGAGCCCAGCAGGCCCCTGTCTTCCCAGAGCTCAGGTGCTGGCTGCGGGGGGAGCCGGTGTGTGCAGAGCTGCGCTGATACCTGTGTCGGGAATGCCTACTCGGCAAGCTGGGAGGCTTTGGACAGACAGTGGCCTCCTCCAGCTCTCTGCTCCATTGTTTATAAGATAAAGCAGCGAACATTGTGCTCTTTAAGGTCTCTTCCATGTCTGTCGTTTGATTCAGTGTCGGATGAAAAGGGCTCCTGTGTGGGGCCAGGCTGGGAGGTGAGGCTGGAGGGCAGGTGGCTTAGAGTCACCTACTCCCGCCCGTCTGCCCGGCCGCCCGTGAGCAGGAGTGGTGTGCCGGGAGCTGTACACTGCAGTGTGGGCGAGACCACCAGGACCTGACGCTTCTCAGAGGCAATGAGTCCTCTGTGACTCCCAGTTTCTAAAATGAGGTTAAATTCTGTTGTATACAGAAAATAAGATTTAAGTGTAAGTGATGGTGTTGTTCTTCCCCCAAGGCATTTGACAGTGTTTTCTAATATCCTTGTGTCTTAGTCAGAATTCTCTAGAGGAACACAACCAGTAAGGAAGGAG